TCCGCGTATTGTCCTATCACCCGGGGCGAGGTAGAAAAGATTGAGCGAGTACAGCATGTAGCCACCAGGCTGATTCCCAACTTACGAGGTGTGCCGTACGAAGACGGGTGTAAGAAACTAGGGCTGTACACCCTAGCTTATCGTCAAATGCGGGTTGATCTCATCATGACGAACCGGATATTACACCCAGGAGATTATCCCATGTTGAGGCCGCTGCTTCATCTGCGCACACCATGCAGCACACAAGACACCGGTACAATCTTGTCGTACCGTTTTTGAAGCGGGTCGCTCATCAACTCTGTTGGTGAGTGTACGGAACGGCCTGCCGCAGCACCTAGTTGGGGCAAAGTTGATGTCAGAATTTAGGAAATTCCTGGACAAACACTTTACTGACGCAAAATATATTGAGCGCAACACAACATAACGGGTCTTTGTCCCTGGGAGGCATTAGATGCAGCTACACGGCGCAAACTCTACTTGCTTCTCCCACCCAGTAATCATTAATCGAATCATCGCAAACTGGTACGTTCTGCGAATTCGTAGGCTGTCGCCGTATTCACAAGCTCGCATAGCACTCTGCAGCCAATGATCTAGTCGAACACTTTCGTAAACAAGTTGAATAATCTTTGTGCCACTTCTGACCCTGACTGGAGCGAAAACATTTCGCTCGTACTTCTACGTGTTTGCAATAGCATCAAAGGTGGCCTGTAGTGCGCACCATCAGAGCTGGTCTACGGCACAACACTTAACCTGTCAGGAGCGTTGAATTTGCCGCCTTAACATTTTGTATACCAACGTCAAACTACATCTTAGCTTTTTCAACGCATGCGTTCGTTGCGCCTGACCCCTCCTCGTGAACATAACCGAAATGCGTAAAAGCACAGCGGACTCTACCTGTACCCACGATTTTGTTCCCAAAGACGCAATGCGTCATCCTCTTCAGACTCCCCACACCGGCCCCATCTGACTTCTCCAACTCCGAAGCACCTTAACTTAGATCAGAGTGGAAATCGAACAACGGTGTCCATTGATCGTTCTAAGGTTATGTTCTTCGAAGACCTGCCCTGTGCCTTACCAGGCACACCCAACTGCTTATGCATCCGCACCTGGCATCCCAGATTCCTCTGTTACTTCTTGCACTGCCAGCCAAACTCCGGGTAACTAATCAATGAAATAGATAGGTCAAACGTCTGATCCGCTTTTCAGATTCCGTTAACGTTTGCTACTTGTCATAACATGCGAGTTTTCACCCGTCATGGTAAGTGTGCTTTATCTATAAATGTTTTGCAAAACGACAGACTCCAAAATTTTTAGCAATCAAAATGGTGTACTTTTTGTTTCGTATACTTGTCTCGCTTTCCATTTAACGTCAGGCCTTTTTTCTCGATCACGTCCCACACCTGTTTTGCATTCCAGAACCCAAATCACCCGAAAATACAGCACTCTATGGCCTAATTTCCCGAAGCCACAGCCCTATTACCATGGTTCCAAGTGACCGCCATCCCTATTCTACAGGTGATTACAACAGCCAGTATGGTCCGTGTACGCTTGGATACGTTTTTCCCACGACGATACCTGGAAGTCACCGCGGGACATAGATAGTTTTGGCAGTGGGCTAGGGTGCGGTGGGGAGGAGATGACACTGCCTGGCCAACAGCGGCCTTTCTTCTGAACTAGCCAGCTCTTTTGCAGTCCAGCGAGCCCGTCGGTGATGCACTTCAGTCCACACTAAACCAATAAATAATAAATAACAAGAAATGTCGGATCCAGAGAACTCTACGCGTATTCTTTCTGCGATGCGCGCACCCACTCCTTTTGGAACCCAACCCTTCCATATTCACATTATCTCCCCACCTGACATCTGTCGAAGTCTCCCCTCACCCAGCCTTCTAGTGCGACCCCTGTAGTGAACGCGAAACATTTATGCTTTCAGTATTTTGACAATGGGTTTTATTGTTCTCTGTATCTTCCGATCGTCCATGTTTTACTGATTTTACATCCAGTTCGCTTTTGAAGTATCTATAGGTCGTGCGCTACCCTGCTCCATGCTCTTGCTAATCTGCTTCCAGTCCAGTGGAGCTCTGTATAATACACGTTGAGTCCGGCGACCTTCATGCTTCTAAATAATCGGTATATGTAATTGTTCCTAGTAGATGATGGTTGGTTGGTGAATGAAGTTGGGGAGCCGAACGCTGACTGGGATGGTCTCACGTGTGCCATGAAGAATGCCTTTGACGCTTGCTGTGCACCCAATTTGATACGTCGTAACGGTGAATGGATCTATGGATGGATGACATGGATCTCTCACTGAGAAAGCTGGTGCAATTGGAAACAGCCGGGTGCTATTCCAGATCATCCGGAGCACGGGTCCGAGAAAACCACCAGTTAACGAGACAATAACTGAGAAAAGTGTACTGTTGATCCACTCTCAGCGTCGTCGACTGGCCCGTTGGGCAAAACGCTTGGAAGAGTACTTTAGCAGGCTTTCTGCGACTCTGCCGCTTGCCGAATCCCCTAAACCGATGAGGGAAGTAGATGTCACACCTCCCACTTTGGAAGAGCTTCGGCATTCGCTCGCCGCGTCAAAAGGAAACAAAACTCCAGGACCCGACGACCTTCCCTTATCTTTTCTGAAAGATGGCAGTGATTCATTGTTGACGACGCTTCTCATTTTGACACGATTTGGTGCTGAAGAGGTGCCTTCGGACTGGCGACTATCTACTGTCGTGCCCATCTTCAAGAGGGGTCAGCGCACTTTGTGCGAAAATCATGGAGGCATTACCCTTATTTCCATTGCCACAAAACTTCACGGATATCATTCTTCGACGACTCACTGGTCCTCTTGAGCACCGAATCACTGAAAGCCAGGCTGGATTTCGCCCTGGTTGCATTGACTACATATTTACTCTTCGCTACGTGTTAGAGCAGAGACACATACAGACGACCGACTATAGTGGTTTTCCTTGACTTGAAAGCCACCTTCGGCTCTGTTGATTGCGCCAGCTTATGGCATTACTTATCCATGTAGTGCGTGGTAGCTTAACTGCTTTACATTTTGTAGTCACCCTACCGTGATTCCCGAGGCCATGTAAGTCTACGGAAAACTGTATTCTGAGTTCCTCACGAAAAGTGGGATTTACCACGGTTTTCCTACAACTCCTTTCCTTTTCAACTTTGTAATTGAAATGAACATGAATGACCCAGTTCTTTCAGACTATGCTGGTGTGGAAGTTCTGCTAGGCGATTGACTGACAAACCTGGAGCATGCGGAGGACATAGGTCTTCTTGGGTCTGATGCATTGGCTATGGAAACACTACTGAACCGATTTTTGCGTAGCAATGCATGCTTCATCATGTATTTTGCACTTTCAAATTGCAAAGTGCTGTTGCAAGGCTAAGGCGACTCCGAACAGCCACTGGTAGCTGTTTCAGCTCAAGTGGTCACATCACTGAAGAGATTACTTCGAGCATCAGCAAGGCCCGAGTGGCATTCCAGAGGCTCAACCATCTTTGTAAACCGTGAGATATCAGCTTGTCAGTGAAAGGTAGGGCGTATAACGGTGCGATTAGGCCGGTCATACTGTATGGATCGAAGGCATGGCTAGCTCTCAATGAAGACATTAAATGCTTGGCCTTGTTTCACCACCGGTGCTTGCGAAGTATTGCTCACCTTTGGTGGAAACGTCAGGTGAGCGATTCTGAGGACCGCTAGTTGGTGCCTCTGGAGTGCTTAATGCATCTTACTCGCTTGTGTTGGTTAGGCCATGTCCTCCGTATGCCCACTGATCAGCTTCCTCGACATGCATTAATACGCCATCCTTGCATAAAGTTGGACGAAACCTCGAGGTGGCCTGTCCATGACATGGTATAGAAGATTGAAGAAATTGACTGCGAGACTTGACCAGGTTGGTGCGTGCCGTCTTCCTGGATGGGGGCCCCGGGACCGTTCACAGCAATGGTTGGAGACCCTGCCAGACATTGCGCAGTCACGAAGTCAGTGGCGTCCTTGCACTAGGCTCCTTTCATGTGGTTGTTAATTTTCTTACCATTCTGATCATTCTAACGCATTTCGTTCTTGCTTTCATTCTCTTTACATTTTACAGACACCTAACCCCACTAGTCTACCAGTGTTATTTATTGTTCTTCTTACGGTGTGAATCGTGGCAACTGGATCTACCGCACCTTGATGCTGGAATCATAGTTTATCAACTTGTTTGTACTGAACCCGGGTTTTACTTTACGGAACCAACACTTGCGTAATTCACATTACCCAACTATTTTTCATTGCGTACGGACTTGAAACAGTCTGTATTTCCTAATTTGTAGGGCCTATTTGCCCCAGAACATTACTTACATCGAGTGATGAAGGAGATGTGGAGAATGTTCGCACTACTGTAGTCGAACATATTATAATAATCTGATACCATGTATGTGAAGTCTTATTACACTTTCGCATGTTTAGACGTCTGAAGTACAAATGTGACAAAAACAAGCGAATCAGTCAAATGAAAACGTCTTAGATCTACTTAACTTCGTTTCCAGTTAAGCATGCACTTAGCGTGGTCGACAATATTAGAGGGCTATACGACAAAGATATGAGCGTCGGGGTACCGCTTAAGGCAACAGTAATAAGAACCATATCGGCGGAGCGGAATATCTTTTTATTATAAAGAGCCCAGTAAAGGCTACCATAGCAATGAAATACCCGCTAAGTATAGAAGCGATTTCTAAGCAGCAGCAACTGAAACAACGAAAACGATTTCGAGTCAGGAGTAATGTGAATTCGTGTTGCGCTGTTCAGGCAGCTGCTTGAAGACACGTCATATTCCGTATGCACATGGCAACTATTTCGTCTATTTGGTCGTCGCACAACAAGCGAATTTAGGGACATCTATGCTCCTGTGCGCACACAAACTTATATCATATATATACAAGCAAATGACAGTTGTACGTCGGCATTCATATGAATAGATTAATCAGGAGTGAGTTATATCACTTACGTGGTAGCCTCTCTCTTTTTACTCATGGTGAAAACAGATTCAATTTTTTCTAACAATTTCGTGATCTCACTGGAATCTGTTTGTTAATAGATTTCACGACATTAGGCTCACCTTTTTGACGAAGATTAACGAAATCAGAAGTCTTAGATTTGAAACATTTGACGAGTGTGCGCGCTGTGCACAACTTGTCATAAAGATCACCATCTAAAAGCACCGAAGTAAAACCTTCGCAAAATTACAATCAGTAGAAAAAGACCGTTGCAGATACACGTCGTATTCAATGAGTTCATTTAATTCCTGATATCTAGTGGATAACTCATGCAGCGCACGATGGCATTCCCTGTATATTTTTCGAAATCTGTTTGAACACTGTGTAGTAATGGAACTCACTGAAGCTCCAATATCCGTCTGTTAGCATCTACGGTACAAACGAGTTTATCTGGACTTGACAACTTGGCAGAAAACTGATTAGGCTAGACAAAGAAAATTGAGAATTGAAGATTACGTTTACAGATCCCATTAGAACGGTGCGTCTATCTCGCGGGTGCGAAATTCTGGAATGACAGTCGGTTGCTCGGTAGGTAAAAAATGCCGTCAGAATTAGTGTTAGCTTCTTTGAACTCTCTAATCGAAACTCAGAATCAAAGGTGTTTATGATACTAAAAAGGACTAATAATCCACAGTAAAGGTTGTGTTTGCGCTTCAAAGAGAGAATAAACTCTATGTGCTCCTCATTCGGACGGGGAATTCTTTTCGCCGTATTGATAAAAATTTTCACGCAAACAAGATAGACTATAATAAGTCTTTACAAAAAGCAGCCACAGTCTGTTCCAAGTAGTGTAGCAGCTAGGCAGAATCTGTGGACCAAACACCGGTTGGCTTGAGACAGTACCCAAATGAAAGGATTGTCCTGTTCTCGGAGCTGGGCATTTCTGTTGCGGACGTTTCGAAATGTCTGTAACAGAAATGCCCAGTTTGCAGAACAGAACAATCCGTTCATCCACATCCCGAGCTGCAAGTATTCTCAATAAGTTCCACAGTATCCAAATACCAAATTGCCGCCGACTGCAACCCTGACGGCCCCAGATCAGACAAGTTGGGCGCCTTTACTAGACGCCCAGTGTAGGTCACCGTAAAAATATTTTGGGAAAAACCTAAGACACGCTGACAGCTACGGCTACTATTAACCACGTTTATCCCAGTGGGCTTAAGTTGTATGATACCATTTAGAAGTTACGTGTGTTAAATTTACAATGAACATGTGTGAAACGCAGCTAATTTGAGCAATGACTGCATTACCTTCAGTCGATGCACAACTTAAACTTCAACGTAACCACGTAGAAAGTCACACTAAGCATTATTTTACGTATTTTTTGCAGGCTGCGGTGCTTACGTAATCACATACTGTAAGTCGCGTTGGCTCACATCTTTCAGGTGGGTAAGTCGCTACGCGTCACTTCGCTTTTGCCGATAAACTGGTCACCATTTGTACACTGTTTACCCAATAAGTATTGCTCTAAAGTCACCAACCTTACCTTCAAACATTTATTTAAGACGCTCCTTGCGTCAGTTGTATGCACCTGCCTTTGATAGGACTAAACTACATCATGACCAAGTTTTGAAAAACACTACCTCCGCCTTGAAGCGCTTTACTTAGAGAGATCGAGTCGCAGTTAGTGCATTTTGCTTCCCATTATTTGGAACCATCCCATTTTTGCCTTATTATTCAAACCTGCTGCACCGGTATCCAGCGTACTTACTACTGTAGCCATCCAATGATATTTCTTATCTTATGTACACATTTTTACTCAATAATACAATATTGGTTTTTGTTTTAATGCCGACGCTACGCCAATTTTACCTACATCCGGCTCATCACTTGTCTCCACGGTGAGTTCCGGCACTGACGTGCGATCTCGCCGTTTCAACCGGTTTTCGTTCGATTGTAGCCTTTCTTGAATACAATCCGTTGTGTCCGTTCTTCTGGTTTTCTGGTGTCCCCACTAGAGTGAGAACACTGTCGGACTAGTATATCCTAGTGGTGACCCCAATTCGCACGCGCGAAGTTTCAAATTTTCAAGTCGTTTTGTCTTTGGTTAATTCGTTCGAAATTGTTTTACTCCTCATCCCTGATGGATTATTTACCGTCTATTTGTTCTTAAAGCCACTCGTAGTATTCATATACTATGTCTGATGCCGACGTAAAACCCGGATCGGGCGGCAGCGTGAATTTGCTTACCTTGGCTATTTCGGATTTTAATGTACACAAACTTGGGGTCTGGTTTGCAATTTTTGAGACAGAGCTAGAGAATAGAGGAGTCACTGCAGACCAACCTAAATGCAACCAACTCGTCCCGCGCCTTCGGTAGCTGGTGGTGACACTGGTTGAAGACGTACCGTTTCGTCCACCGAAAGACGGTAAATACTAGCCAGTGAAGCAATTGACCCTAAAGTAGCCGCAACCCAGCGCTTGTGCTCGATTAAAGCAACTCATTCATAGCCCTAGGCTAATAGATCGCAAAACTTCAGTTTGCTCCGCGATATTCAGCTGATAGCGGGCACTTCGTACATGAGTGGAAGCTTTAAAATAACTGTGGCTCTCACGTCTACCTGATCCCCTTCCTCTAATGCTCGCAGCATACCCAGATAGAGCACGCAAAATAGCTGGCCATAAGCGCAGACACAGCTTTTGAGAGAATCCCTCAGCACACCAAGGTGTCCAGTAACATTTTCGCCACCTTAGCTGATAAAGACTTGAATACGAATGCGTGCGCGCAAACAGACTCCAGAGGCGAAATGGCAGTCGCGCTTCGCCGTGAATTAGCCACAATGCTGTTAGAAAGACAAGGCTTACTAAGACCGCACGCCGACCACGAAATAGCCGCATTTCGACACGGAGCCTATCAGTCCCGACCTCCAACGTACAGATCCCGTTCACCGGGCAGACACAGTCCATCACCCCTCGCAGCCGAGCCCGAAATGCCAATGTAATGGATGATTTGTGTTGGTATCGTCGCCAGTAGGGTGACAATGCTCGACGTTGCCGTTCACCTTGAGTCAAGCGTGGTGTAGTGGCACATGGAAATTAGTTCGACGGCAAGTGAATGCGGCCCACGCGTCCGGCAGTGACCAAACAGGCCGTCTGTTTTGTGTCAAGGATAGGCGCACCCGCCTCACTTTCCTTATCGACACGGGAACCGAAGTGAGCGTTATCCCTTCCAGCGCGCAAGACAAGCATTCGAAGCACACGTACAATCTACGAGCAGCCAACGGCTCAACGACAGCTTCATACGGTTGGCGCATTATGAACCTAGAGTTAAACCTTCGCAGAGATTTCACCGGGTTTTCACGGCTGGGTCAGTATCCTTCACCATTATCGACAACGAATTTCTTCGCCATTTCGGATTGCTTGTCGACGCAGGTCGCCACAGAATTTTGGATGATCATACAAAACTATGTGTTGATGGCGTCCTTCCAGATGCCCCGATTATCAGCCCTGTATTACGGATCGCAGATGCACCGTCCGACTGCTTGAGCCTCCTCTCCGAACACGCGCCGCGGGTTCGACCGCCTGCAGAGCTTCCACCAGTCACGACAGAGCTCGTTCACCACTTAGTCACGCGCGGTCAACTAGGTGGCACAGGCCAAGACAGCTTGCTCCAGACAAACTACGTGCAGCACAAGCCCAGTGCGACCACAGTCTTCAGCTCATTATCTTCGGACCGTCCAACAGCCCATGGGCGTCGCCTCTGCACATGTTCCAGAAGAAGGTCATGGAGGACTGGCGTCCTTGCGGCGACTATCGATCGCTATCCAACCCATACATAGCGGATCTCACCGCCAGTCTAGCAGGTAAAAGTACCTTCAGTAAAATCGACTTGGTAAGCGCATGCAGCCAAATTCCGGTAGCCGAAGCAGACATCGCTAAAACTGTCGTGACGACTCCATTTGGTTTGTTCGAGTTTCTGCGCATGCCATTTGGCCTAAAAAACGCCGCGCAAACTTCCCAGCGCTTCATACACTAAAGTTGTGGCGGTTTAGGCTGCGCTTACGCGTATCTTGACGACATTTTAACCGCAAGCTCTTCGAGAGTAGAGCACCTGCGCCACATACAAACACTTTTGACCGCATATTTCAACACGGAGTGACGATTAACGCAACAAGGTGTTCGTTTGGTGTCGTCTCAGTGAACTTCTCTGGTCATCGTAGCTCCTCTGCAGGCGTGGTGCCATTGCAGGATAACATTCATGCCATCATCGAATACCCCAAACCTCATTCTTTCAACCAGCCCAGGCGTTTTGATGGCCTTGCCAACTTTTACCGTCGATTTATACCCAAATGCGCCTCGCTGATGCAACCCCTCACGGACCTTCACCGAGGGAAACTCAAGAAATTCGAATTTCCTACCGCAGTAAGCGCTGCTTTTAAGTCGCTGAAAGAGGCTACCTCCAACATAGCTTCTATGGTGCATCACGATTAGGCCGCTCCACTCTCCCTCAGTGCTGAAGCCTCAGACATGACAGTCGGCGCTGTTTTGCAGCAACGATTAGCTGACTAGTAGCAGCCCTTAGCGTTTCTCTACAAACGCCTACAACCTACCGAATCTAGATACAGCACGTTCGCTAGAGAGCTACTAGCCGTATATCTAGCGATACGTCACTTTCGACTCGTCCTAGAAGGCCGCTCCTTTGTCGTCTTCACCGACCACAAACCCCTGACTTACGTGCTCGGCTCGACTACCGACTGATACTCTACTAGAGAGTCGCGCCACCTTGACTATATCGCTCAGTTTACGACCGATATACGGCATGTATCAGGTGTGCACAACGCCGTCGCCGATGCACTTTCTCGCATCCAAGCTATCTCCGCTGACGCCGGCACCGCTATCGACGTGGCAGCCATGGCCACAGCACAACTCAACGATCCTGAGGTTGATCTACTATGCAGGTCTTCCTCATTGGACCCGCGGTTCGTTCCGCTGACATCATCAGACGGCACTATACTCTGAGATTTATCTCTGGACACACGGCGCCCCATCGTCCAACGCGAGTTTCGGCAGACAGTGTTCGACACGTCGCACGGCATGTCTCATCCAGCGCTGGTGCATCGGTTAAACTCGTAACCGCATGATTCGTTTGGCGCAATGTTATTCGGGATATCCAGACTTGGGCAGCTGCTTGTCTTCCATGTCAACGCGCGAGGGTGCACAAGCACACGAGAAGGCCATTGGGCGCCTTTTAGACGCCAGACGCACGTTTTCGTCACGTGCACGTCGATCTCGCAGTCCTCTGCAACCTTCCAAAGGCTCTGGGTATCTGCTGACCTGTGTCGATCGATTCACTAGGTGGCCGGAAGCTATTCCCTTACCTAACTGCTCTTCGGAAACGGTAGCGAAGGCTTTTCTGTAGCGCTGGGCAGCTCAATACGGCTGCCCGTCATCGTGACCACCGATCGAGGGTCACATTTCTCGTCGACATTTGCCACGTTGCTTAAGGATTTAGGCTGTCGCCACGTTCAGCC